ACCAGCTGATCCGCAGAGCATCATACCAGTAACAAACTAACTAACTTTGAGATCCCGAATCCAGTAAAAAAATATATATATAGAAAAGGGAATTTACCAGTAAAGCAGGATATGATTCAAAATCTTCCAATTTCCACACTTTTCCCGTTAGGGGCTCGGGCAACTGATTAGCACACGCATAAGAGACAAAAAAAAAAAAAAAAAACGCAGATTAGAATTTCTTTTTTAACTCAATTGAAAATAGATAAGTGGTGAATAGATACACAAGCAAATCCATGCAAGTATATACGTCTTATATACGTTCATGAGTGTGAAGAGGAAGATAACCTCAAAATTGGGAGCCCTAAAACCTAAGGAGACCCCTTTGGACTCGGTTCTGGCAGCACGAACCACTAGCCTTCTGGACGCGTACTGGCTGGTCCTTCGCTGCAGAGGATAGAATCCCATTTCCTTTGATGGTAGAAACGAAGACACTCCGAAATTTGGTAAAGCGCGCCATGAATGTTGTAAGCAACCTGGTGCTGCTTTTGTGGAAGGCACGCTGCTCATGCTGATGCTGACGGTAATAGCAGCAGCCATTGATTTATTTCTGCGCGTGGACGGTGATGAAGTGAGGTGAATGGATGGCCTGGCTCCAATGGAGTTTTTATGGTCATGAAAATTCTAACGAAGTTGAGGAACAGCCCAATAGTTATTGGGCTAGAGGTTTGGGCAAGAAGATGTAGTATAGCCCAAGAAAGAGAAGAAAAGATCAGAGTGAAAAAAATAAAAAAACTGAAAATATATAATTTAAAATTAAAACTAAAACTATCATCATTTTAAATTCTATTTAGTCATAAGCAGTTTTATTTTAAATAAAAATTGTTACTTGATCCTAATCTAACTATAATCTAAATAAAGAATAAATATTTTTTAAATATATATATATATATATGTATTTGGGTAAACTCTAATTACTGTCCAAAAAAAGTTTAGAAAAACTCTTGTTCCTTTAATTAAAAATTGTATCAATTATCCAATTAAAAATATATTATAATAAAAATAATATAAGTAATTTGTAACAAAAATATAAATATCTAATATTGAATTCTATATGCTTATATTTTTGCTTATAAAAAATTCACGTGTGATTAATTCATTTATAGAATTCAATAATTCATAAAGAAAGAAACTTTATGTGTGAAACGAATTAGATTTTTTTTCAAAGGAAGAATTAAACTTATTTCTTCAACACCAAATAAGGGAGAGACATGTGAATGTTGACTTACAATTTTCTTTCTCTTCTTTTATAGTATATATTTTCATTGTTTTATATTAGAGAAAAAAAAATTTTATTCAAACTCATCGAATAAAACCCGTCTAAATTCAAATTCGATAAAATTCATTTTGATGTCATATATATTTTAAATTAAAAATATTATTATTATACAAAAAATAAATAGACAAATTTTTAGGGTAATTAAATTCGATTGCGTATGTTTTTGGTGGAGTCCCAAAAACGATTTCTCTAATGCATTTTAAATTTTGATTTGTATGGAATATCGTAGTGATGTAATTAATATATCACAAGTGTCATCTATTTGATAAATTTTTATGTGTTATTTATTCTCCATATAAAATATATATTTTTTTAATTTTAAGGTTTCACTAATTAAAACACATAATGTATAATTTGGTGAAGGCTTATTCAATTTTACCACTCACATGGGGAGTCCTTATAAAATGGGAGCTTCCAAAAATCATAACGTGAATCTAAAAGAGTTTGAAGATAGAGAATCTTAATAAATCTTTTCATTATAAAAATTCAAGTTGCAAGGTTAAAATTATATCAATTCAAGTCTAAATTTTGTCGATATTCAATCAATTGCTCGAAGAATATATTCATAAAACTCGATAGGTCATATTGAAAGAGGTACCCGGATACATTTAAATACTTTTATATTTCTTAAATATATATATATGAGTGTTGGACTTGAAAATCAACGTATATATTGAATAACTTCGATTTTACAAATAAAAAAATACAAACACACAAGAATATGTTTTAAAACTTTGTGATAAGATAAAAGAGAGATTCTTTTTCAGTTGAAGTTTACATATTTAATTAATTATGTGGTAATATATGTATGTGTATTAATTATATAGTAACAACCTATAAAAATATATTTAAATTCATAATTATATTAAATTAAGAAATAGTTTATGAAAAGCAATCTTATTGAGATCAATAAATACGTATACAAGCTTGGGAGGTGTGTATGCGTGATGGAACCAAGAACTAGCAATTTAATATGAAATGAAGCCGAAGCCGTACTTGTTCATTGGGTATTGAATGTATACATACATACATGTATATTGTGGTTGGTGCATGACGTCTCTTTCTCCAGGTAGTAGTAATTTAAATCGTCCCTCCCATTTAGCATCATTTGCATTCACACTATTTACATTAATGGGATTGGAATCTAATCCACATACCAATCAATTAGCTCAGGACAGATCATAAAACTCCTAGCAGACATATATATATATATATATATTAACATTTCATGAGTGGTGATCGAGTTCTTGGGTTCGGCCTCCTGTAATTTGGTCAAATACCAACAGGGCGCATCATAAATTTTGTTGTTTGAATTTAAGAGAAGTTGACATAGTAATAATTTATATGATTTGAAAGACTGTATTTAATTAAATGGTTGAACGATAGGACCCTGGATAAGTGAGATTTAAGTGCAAAATTATGGCCTGTTGTTTACTCTCACCAATTTGGAAAATCTCTCCCTAAGAGAAAAGAAAAGGATTAAAACCTCCATAGAACTTGTTAATTCCTTTTTTTTTTTAGAAAAAAAAAAAAAAGTGAACGATCAAATTTAGAGAATGAAAAATTTTGTAAAATAATTAATAATAGGTGTTGGATTATTTATCAACAAATGAATTTAATATGAAACTTCATATGCATAACATACTATTTGATTTATTGAATTCGTTTAAAATTGATCAATTACAGTTAAACAGTTGTGAACTAAAAATGTATTGGGGTTAAGTATCGCTTTGTAATATGTGCATATATTATATTTGTAAGTTCTCATTTTATAATGAGTAAAATAGGAAATAACAAAACTCGACAATATAAAAAGCAGCTGTAGTTCTCAAATCACACATGTCTATTTTGTTTATTTTCTACTTTTTCGTCAATAGTGAAAATCAATATTTTACAATTACATATTGATTTGAAATATCTAACGCGTGATGCGAAAATATCTTTCATTATAAATTATAGTATGATTCTGTATTCATTCTCTTTAATTCATTACTAGTTTGTTTATGATTTTTTTTAAATCTAATTTGATTTGATTTCAATCGATGAGTATTTTATTTGATCAGAAAAAGATCTAAACTCAATTATGAAATAATTTGATAGACACATTTATATTGATCAATTAATAAATCTAACTCTATACAATGAGAATATAACATAGATCAAATATTTTTTAGGAACATACATATTTACCAACAACAAATTGAACAATAATAAATTTTTGAACATAAATAATGTACAAATTGAATTTTTATATAAAATTTAATACTTACATATATTTCTAAATTAAAATTAATTATTATAATTTTTATTATTTAAATATTTTAATAAAAACGATAAATTTTAAGCTTTTTTTCAAGTAAATAAATGTTAAACTCTACCCATTAAACCTTAAAATGAATCATACCATTAAAATATATATATATATATATATGCTTTAACCCTTTGGACAAAGCCTTAACAGCTCTAATATCACCGTAAATAGAGACTGACCTTACGATAGTTATTACTTTTAAGGATCCACCATTTTTACAAGTGAAAAAAGAAAAGATTATAAGTGTAGTCGATCAGTTCGTATCTTTCCCTTACGGATCTAGATCCTACGATGACCTGTTCATACAAGATTGCATTCAAGTACAGTGAATGGATAGCTGATAACTCCAAGGTCAAATATAAAGTCCCCATCAATGTTTTATTATTACAACAAATTTAATATTAAAAGGGAATCCAAAACTCTAAAAAATTGAAGTTCAGGCGAGAGAAGCTACTTGCCACCAATCCAGGACGTTTTTATTACTGGCATAAACACCCACTGGACTGGATTCTATGTTTTATAAACAAACTTCTCAGTTCCTACACACAAGAACTTGAAGTTTTCAGCTGCATATGTAGACACAAAAATCTTAATTCGGGTTGGAGATACAGCTTCTGAGATCATGAAGAGAAGAAGATATGAAATGGAAGAGTCAGATGTAAGGTCTGCCATTGAAGAGCTTTCCATGTTTAGGAAAATGAAGCCTGATGGTGATTTTGTTCCTGCCAAGCCTTTTCTCGATGTCTGCAACTTAATCCTTCAAATCCTTGGTTAGTTTTGATTTTCCATCTTTCTCTAATCTTCGTTTTCTTTTTTTTGAAAAAAAAAATATATATATTACGTCTGGAGCTTTCTTGGCTATGTCTTTTTTTGTTTCCAGATAAGATAGGCCCAACAATGACTGTCCTTAGACAAGACATTAATCAAAATATACAGGTGAAATGTATCTCTCTTCTCATTCTCATCTAGTATGCATTCTTACTTTCTTGCATGACATAAATACCCCTCATTGACCCATTAATAGTGTTTCTAGCTATGTTGACTTTTTCCTTTTTCTTCATCAGATTAAGGGCATTTCTGTCTAGTCATAGACATTTTTTTTACAAGACATTGATGGGCCCTTTGTTTGTTGATAGAGGTTGGAGAAGTTTTGTGAATCTGATCCTCCACTCTTTTCAAATTTGGTTGAGATCTTGAAGAAAGAGAGAGATGAAGGCAATGCAAGACAAGTCAACAGCTGTAGTAGAGCCTTTGTCTGGCTCACCAGGTATTTCTAGTTCAATCTTTCTACGGCATATTAACACTTCTTAGACTGTTCATTATTCTCTGCATTCACATCAGGGTTCATTTCTAAAAGAAAAGCAGTATGTGCTTTCTTGAATTTTGGATTTTTATTTTGTAAGTAGATCCTGTGGATCTGTGTTTTGACCACAGTGAAACTCAATCTGATTTACATATTAGTTTAAAAGAAATTCCAACCATCCCCTTGTTGAATTTTACTAACTGGTTTTTCGCCATACAGATCCATGGATTTTACTGTAACTTTACTACAAAGTCTGACAAAGGATCCTGGGAAGAACATGGAGCAGGCAGTGGAAGAGTCTTATAACATTACCTTGAAGCCATGGCATGGATGGATCTCAGCAGCTGCTTTTAAAGTAATTACCTACTTAGTCTACATTCCTTGCTAGACATTTAGGGGCTAAAATATATAGAATAGCGAATCATTTGTCGCGTACTTAACTAAATACCAAACGTCAAACGTCAATCATAAGATGATTTCTCCAAATTCTTTGCAAAAAACTTGCATGATTAGTACTTTTCCATTTGTCTATTTTAATACCCCTATCTCTTGCCCGGAACTCATGTTTCAACCATTCGTAGTTTAGGTATAAAAAGTTACTGAATTTGTTAGATTGAGACGTTGCAATTTCTATGTCAAAAGAAAAGTGCTCCTAGAAGCATTATATAGAAACTTTGATTTTCTCAGTTATGGAGCATAAGGGATAGTGTATGTTTGCAGGTGGCTCTGAAACTAGTGCCAGATAATAAGACCTTCATCAGTCTCCTCACGGAAAAAGATGACAACTATGAGATTATCAAAGAGGATATAGAAACTTTGATTTCGTTGCTACTGCCTCTGCTTGAAGAAATCCATTCTATTATGGTGAGCCTCGATTTCTACCTTCTGAAATGACAACATCAGCTGGTTTGATTTGTTTATTTTGATTTCTTTGTTCTGCAGGAACTTCATGGGTTGGATAAGATGAAGTCAACATGAGGAGGGAATACTGCTCAGGATTTGGTTTTATATACCTGAGCTTACATACCCAATTTTCTTTTCTTGTATATATAATATATATATGAATGTGTGTACAGGTTTACAAGTCCTAAGCACTTATTCTTCTGTGAAGGCTCCTAGATTCCGTCTCATGCTCTGTCTATTACTATGTTTCCTAAGGATAAAAACAGATACTTAGGAGGCTTGACCAGTTCTATAACTGGTTTTTGTTGTTTTGTTCAATTAGTCCCTTCTGTTCTTGTTACGGCAATAGCCAATGTCACAGCTCTAGTAATTGAACATAGAATTTGACGAATTTCCACCAACAATCTCCATGCTCGAAGTCAACTGATTTCTCCAGGAAGGATTTCTTAACCAATTCAAACATGTGGATATTCACGACAACTCTTAAGCAATTAGTTTAAATATTGTAAATTTGCTCAACTATATACAAACAGATAAATTATGTCTCTTCCTTTATCTCTTTCTTCTTTAGACTTAGTTCATGACAATTAGCAATAGACTACAGTTATTTCAGGGAACAGTTGAAGGAAGTACATGAACCTTTTCAAAGATACCCGTTTGGTCTATCCCTAAATTGAAACCAGAAGAATGGTGAGACGACGATTCATGAAGTGCAATGAGTGCTGCAACTAAGCCTGCATTGCTGGCTATGCTTGGCTGAGTGAACCATGGTTTGTCCCTCTCATCAATGAAATTTTCAAATTGGTCTGGTCCTGTTACCATGGCTCCCAAAAGGGTATTTGGATTTGGATCCTTAGAGGATAGCCATTTGTGTCCCTCGGAACATGAGTACAGGCGACCATCCCAGGGGATCGATGCACTCCTGTGATGAACGTGTGTCGGATACTTGTCTCCAAACCCAACCACATAGCTCATCTTCTTCGGGTTCTCCCCCAGTATGTAATTTATCTTCAACCGAAAAAAGGAGATATTTTCTGTTGGGTCCCAATCAGTAAATATAATCAATTGTGTAATGTTAGAAGTTGCTGCTCACCTGAGACATGGCAAATCTACGTAACATGGCACGAGAAAAGCCACCATTACCACAACTCCCCCCGGATCTTTGCAAAAGACTGAGGTAGTCACTGTATAATTTACTTAGAAACGATGCCGTTGCTGCAAACTGCAGAGCCCCGCCATAGTCATCCGGCTTTAAGAAAATCAACCCACCTAAGCCAAATAAAATTTGCATAACAAACGCCAACACTACAAAAGTATGCATATACAGAAAACCAAATGAGGCCGATCGTGGAATTTTTACCTTGTGTTCTGTTAAGAGTTTCATGAGAAAGATAAAAACACATGAGCTGCTCAATCACATTGGATGAAGATCCCAAAGCATGTTCATAGGGAAATCCAGGGTCGTGGAAAAATCTTATTCTTGTTAACAGGAGCTACACGAAACGAATAAAAGATTGTACTTAAAGGGACAATTTATAAATTCTCCAATAACATATCAGCTAATACTAGAATTACCACTATGGCAGGAAACTTGTTGTTCCAATAGAAGATCCCTTTATCTGAAATTGCTTGATCATCTGCAGCTGCATTGAAATTCCCGGTGGCATATTCGAGATAAGAAGTGTTTCCAGTTGCGAGGAATAACCAAATTCCTGCCCAAACCAATTCATCTTTGAAACCAGTGGAGTTATAGAACTGTCTTGCCTCCATCCCACATCTATCAACTGAGGTGTAAACCACTTGCTTGTCACTATGGGTTTCATTAGTAGCAACCTCATATAACTTCTCTGCTGCTTTAACTAATGAAGCTGAGTACTCATTCTCTTGTTTGAATACTAATGATGCTGCTGCAAGTGAAGCAATGATTTCTCCTGCTAAATCAGAAGCCGTCACATCACAAACCGAAACTCCCCGATTATACTTCATGTCCTCTGGCCTCTGCCAGCAGCTTATATCGTTCTCATTCATAGTATCATTACTTGATCCAACCTAAAATCACCAGAAAAGTTCTCAAACTTTTTAAGTTTCAAGAATTAAACAAGAAGTTGAATAATTTTGAATCTCTTGCCTGTGAATACAGAATGGGGGAAGATCCAGTTGCGTTTCGATAAACGAAGACCTTAAGCAGATACTGACTTCCCCATCTGATTATGTCCTTCACATGCTCCACCTCGCCAAGCTCTTCATATTTTTTATGATACTCTATCACAGACCAACTCAAGAGGGTAATGGTATAAGCCGTGGGGAAAGTAAACTTTATATTGTTGCCGGAATCATAAAAGCCACCCACAAGATCAGCATGTAAATTCTTCCATTTCCCATCCTGCAATCCTGAGCTTCCACGAAATTTAACCGGGCTGTTACTGGGATAATTCCCAGCTGCAAATCACAAAGGTATACTCGGTGAGTTCCATACCAAAACGTTGAAAAAGGAAATTAGAGCAAAGGAAAGAAGGAGTTAGTTATACACTTCTGAACATCGAAAAATGTCAAGGCATGGTTGACTGCAAGAGTGAGATTGTTGGAGGAGTTATGGTGGGAGTTTTTGTGAGGGACAAAGTGGAGAAGTAGGATAAGTGCAAGAATGAGGAAGGCAGTGGAGAGAGATATATAAAGAAAGCGTTTCAAGTATTTTTTGTCTGTAATGACGAGTTCATAGTCGTAGGATTTAGAGTAGGGAGAAGGGATTGAATCATAGCCGTTGGATAACTGCGGAACAAGGCGAAAGTCAATCTCGACGGAGTTCCAGCGGCTCGCTGATGGAAGAACTCTGCCTGCTTCAGAGATTGTATGATAGAACCGCCCAGCTGCTGAACTTGACTCTGCCATGATTCATAAATAGACGAGGAAGAGGAGAATGAAATTTCTAATTCACTCTTCTTCCCAAGAAACTTTGACGTTAATGATATATAAATATATATATATATATATCTATGATTTCTTCGCCTTCTTTTGTCTTGCGTATGCTCTTGTAAATTATTTTATGTTTGATTTTTAATTAACAAAATATTCAGCCCTAACCATAATTTCGTAAATAAAGACATGCAAAAATATTCATGAGTTATAAAATAAAAATTAAAAATTGTTATTATTCTTTCAAATTTAAATATATATATTTTATTTATAAAAATAAATTAATTAATTAACGGTAATTTTTTTTAGAATAGAAAATCATTTTTTTCTTGTGACAAACTTTCTCTCAGTCATACATTTGTGGTGCGTAATTCTATCAACCGTCACTTTAAACATTTCTTGTTAGTTTCTTAAAATTTATTTAAAATTGTATATTTGATTAAATTATAAAAAAATATAATTTTAATTTTAAAAAAAATTAAATTTTAATTCTAAATAAAATTTAAAATATTTTCTTTTAATTTTGATTGCAATTTATTTGTACTTAGCTTGGATTAATTCTATTTTTGCTCTCATATATGAATTTTTATAATACTTAAAATCTTAATAAATTTCAAATCTCATTCTGAATTGAACAAAAATTTCGTGTGTATTGATTAATTAGATAAATATCTGATATATTGATGAAGAGTTTTCAATTCTTTATGCAAAATCATGAACAAGTATATATACTCGAGACATTAGCTTGCACGAGAGACTGTACTACTCTTTTATTCTATATAATAATTAGAACTCTTAGACGATAACTATAATAACCCTAAAAAAATATATGTATTTTTGAAGAAGGAAGAGGGTTTCTGAACTAAAATTCTAGATAAAGCCTGCTTCAAACGGCCTAGTTTTCATGTATAAAGAATTTAGTCAAACGACGTTATTTTAGAAATTTTAATTTCTTCTAATTCTGTTAGAACGATGTCGTTTTAGTAAAAATTTAAATATTATTTTTAAAAAATTTAACTTTAACTAATAAAACTTGAGGATTTTCGATATTTCGTTATTAATAAAAATTTATTGTACAATAAAATACAAGCTCCGAACATATACTGATTTAAAATGATAATTTTTTATTGCTACATAAAGAAAGGTAACAATTATTTTCTTATTATTATTATTATTTCTTAATGCGTAGAACAAAAGGAGAGAAGACTATGATTTGTTCAATAATTCAAGCAGTGGCTCTTAAGACGGGGCAGCTCAAATCACCCACATCTTCCTTGGACTTGCCTGAGCGATCACCCTTGACGAGGGGCCCAAGCAGTTCTCCACTGTCAAAGAAAAACTCTACCTTCACCACTTTCATCTTCTCGTCAACCTGTTTTTCCCAAAAAAAGACAAACAGATATATACATATTACTTATAAAGAAGGAAGAACATATAGAATAATAGCTATAACTAGATTAAAATGGGAGAAACATGCATGCACTCAAAAATAGAAATGCCGAAGAGTTCTACCAAGTCTCCTGTGGGAGCATAGTCCTTGAAAGGACCCTCCATGTAACCCCAGTGCCTGAACTTGTACACAATCACCGGCGGACCTGAATAAACTTGGACAACCTCGAGAGCAAAGCCTCTTGGAAATGTTGTTCTGAACAGAATATGGGAGGAATCGGCGGTTTCCTCCGCCGGGTTATAGATTCTGAGTTTCTCAGGTAATGAAGTTTGCAAGAAAGCATTGTAACCTCCCCCGAGCTTACGTTTTTCTTCCAAAGTTATGGGCTTCTTTCCTGTTTCATTATCACCATGTCATAATAAATAAAAAAGATTAAGTTAAAGAAAAATAAAGAAAAGAATAATTAATTAGTTACCATTTAAGCTGAAGGTGTAATTATTTGGATCAAGGGTTTTATAGTCATCACTGGAAATCTTGTTAAACAGTTCCATTTCCCATGACTTTACAAGGTTCTGCACCTTCTCTTCTAGGGATCCGGGAGGCCATATCTGTAAACAACAAGCTCTCACTATCCATGTATATATGATTTTCTGTGTGTGTATGTACATACATACATATATATATATGCGGAAAGAAAAGCTATGTATATTATTGGACACCTTAGTTCTGCCTTCTTCGAAGAGTTTGTTGACTGCATCGTAGTTTGGAGGAGCTCCAGACCTCCATTTCGTGTTCTTCTCTCCTTCTCCATGTAAATGTGAGCGATACTCGTCTCCCCCAATACCTGAATTCGCCATTGATTTTCTTTACACATGAATAAATGGAGAAGGGGGACTTTAAATACACATACATTTTCATCTAAAATGCGGATCAATTTTTTTTCTTTTTAAGAAGATACGTGTCTTATTTTTCTTACTAAAAGACATTAATGTCTCTTTTCACTTAGACTTGTGACCAGCAAGCAATCAATTTTCGACGAGATTTTTCATTTCTCTTTACTTAAAAAATTGGGATTTCTTCCAAATTCATGAACAAAACCCAGTTTTGATACCCCTTCCATTCTAAGTGGGTTCATTTTCCCGTGTACACTATAAACATATATAGATACACGTACATGCTTGACTTCAAACTAATAAATATTATAATATAAATTATTTAGTTCACAAATTTGAAATATCTCAATCAGATTACAGGTCAGTTTTATTTTTATAACTCTCTTGGTTCCTCTTTCTTTTTTTTTTTTTTCTAAAGCTTTCCTGGCAGTGTCTTAATTTTGTTTGCATGCAGAGAAGATAGAGATAGACCCACTCACCAACCCCAACAATATATGAGGTGGTTGGCTATCCTTACTTCAAGTAAGTCTTATTTGAAATCGTAGCCATTCAATCATAAAACAAAAGCATAAATCTCCACCGTTCAAATTCATCTCTTCTTCATCTCACCAAATAAAAGCATTTTATTATGTTTATTGTTCATGATTAACTTCAATTTTCAAAAAGAAAATATATTCTATTCTTCTTTTAACCATACTAAGTATATAAGTTGAGTCAAAGTCATTATTTATTATGATCAGAATATTTTTATTTTTGACATATGTTTAGTATTATATCAAACCTGATTTATATCTTGGGCTTAAGTATTTAAGTTGAATTTGCTAGAAACTATGGACTGTATAGATCCAAAGTATCATGGGCTTCTTCCAAACCGACCCAGAATCTCATCTTCTTCTTCCCCTTCCACGATCAATGTCACAATCACAAAGACCAAAAAAAAAAGGTAATCTTTTACATTCCCGGTGATCATAGGGACTCCGGATCTACTTTCTACTCGTACTAACTTTTTTCTACAGAACGGAAATAAGAGCTCCCTGCAAATCCTACCTGCCTTCTGAATTTTCTCGTGAGTTCTTTCCTTCCGCGCTTTTAAATTTCCCCTTCATGTCTGAAATGCAATGATTTATTTGCCTTAATTCTCATCTGGGTATGTTTTTTCATTCACTTTTTGCTGTAAAGTTCGAACATTGATCCAACGATATTTTCTTATACGAAGATTGGTTGAAAACTGATTCCTTCTTCTTCCCCTTCTTTTCCCAACTGGTTCAAAGCTCCATGATCTTGTTCCTTAGTGCCTCTAGATCCCTCTCTGGTTTATGTTTAATTTGCCTACAGTCTTCAAATCAGAAGCTGAATTGATGCTATCATGAACAATTACCCATATGTGCCAAATAGCCCCAAGTCTTTCAATGCGTACCCAAGAGGTGATTTCGACATAGAATCAGGAGTCACAAAAAAATCCAGAAAGCCAAAGAACTCACTACACCCCATCAGAATGTTTAAATCTTTCGGCAACCGACTTCGCTACTATTACAAGTTGCACCCGGTTCTTGTTTTTATCATTTCATTCTCACTTGGAGCTTCAATTCTTATATTTCTGTCCGTCTACGAAAACCGTTATCGTACAATTAGTTATAATAGAAAGCTTGATATGTCTGTCGATGACTACCCATTTGCAAATTTAAAGAACCTAGTAATGGTGGCGGGCCATTCCGTTTATACTAGTAGTAATTGTGGAAAAGCTGATAAGGAGGATTCTTGGTTCCTAGAATCATATCAGAGGAATCCTGGTCAAGCTTCTACTTTTGTTACTCATATAAAGGAAGGAGTTGAGATTGCCGCCCAAGACGAAGAGGCTCTTCTCCTGTTTAGTGGTGGAGAGACCCGGAAAGATGCTGGTCCTCGAAGTGAGGCACAGAGTTATTGGGCGGTTTCTGAATCCCAAGGATGGTTTGGTTAGTTAATGTGCTTCTCAGACTATGCATTGCTTTTGACTTTACTTTGAATTGAAATATTCTTCTTGTTTGAAGATAGAAGAAGGAGAGATTGTATTTTAATTGAGAGACAGCAGGAGAAATATTTTAACATATTTAAAAAATTCATAGATTACTTATTTCTTGGGTCACTTCTTGCACATTTTACTTTAATACAAGTGATAGACATTGGATGTTACTATTTTGGTTCTTCAATTTAAAGTAGTTATAAGACTACATTCACTTTGTGTCAATGAGTTTATGGCCATTTTAACTGCTAGAAGTTATTTTCATTCTTCACTTACCAAACTTTATCTTATCCTATCGAAGCAGTTAACATGAATATGATTCACATTATTCATTGATCTCCCTGCAAAAAATAAGGCTTCATTTGATACAGAGAAAACATTTCTTTCTCATTTCCTAGATTGATTGGTAGACAAATCAGTTGAGAGAATCTCTTAGTGGAATTTTGGTTGAGTTACTAAAACAATCACCATATAAGGCAACTGCATTTCTAAAGCATAAAATTATGTAGAGAAGGTGCCTGACCTAACTGAGAACAAGTGTTATATGTGGAGCAAGCATAGCAATATAACTGCATAATCATTGACAGCATATGCATTGTCTTAGAATCATTTTACATACTATTCAATAGTGCTAGAAATCTATTTTCTTAGTATATATATTTAGAGTATGGAATTTGAGATTTTGATTTCATTTGTCATTTATGATCTCATCAGGCAAGGAAAAAAGTGTAAGAGGGAGGGCATTAACAGAAGAGCATGCAAGAGACAGCTTTGAGAATCTTCTTTTCAGTGTTTGCCGGTTCCGAGAACTTACGGGCATATATCCTCATAACATAACTGTAAGTACACTATCTTTTGAAATTAAGGCAGAGAACAAAAGAACGAAACTGGTCTGGTTGACCTAGTGAAACAGCAAACAATATAGGAATTATGATATGGCCAAGGAAGGTGTTATACCCATTGGGTAACTTCAATCTGCATGTGAAGCTGTGCATTTGCATGTATAGCAGAATAATTTGAAGTGCCTATGGATGACCAGATCAAAATGTTTTGGTTGTAACATTTAACATGTGTCCCGAAGCATTGATCAGAACAAGCATCCTTTGACAAATATTTAACAAATATTGTCTTCTCATTTATACTGTAGATACTGGAATTTTCACACCATGAATGATTCAGATGCCAAAAGTCGATAGCATAAAGTGGTGTAAGGAAAAAAAGAACTTGAAAGAAAATAAAGAGAAATTGACCTAGATAAAAACCAGAGATCTGGAGTCCCAATGGTAAACTCTTAATTCTTAGAAATGTTTGATAAATAATCATAGCAGACTGATATCATCTAAGTTACGATATCTTCATATGGGCGCCAAACATACAGCAAAAATTGGAAAATAAAATACCTAACATAATAGGGACACTGCAAGAATAGAAAGAAAATAAATTTCTTAAAAAATTCCTAACCTTTCAAGTTCATTTTGTGCTGGGATCTTAACCACTGAACCAGTGCTGCTTCTTTTTCTTTCAAAATGAAATTTCAGATACATTTTTTACTGTGGCCTAGTGTTGAAGAAAGGCATAGAGTTAGTGCTAGTGTATGTTTGGATGAATCTCATAACCTTTTACTATTGTATTAGTCCTTATTTAGATATTAGTTGGTTTGATACACTTGTGGACACAGACGAACTCAGCATTCTGTCCTTCAATTTCTATTATTCTCACATTTTCCTTTCTCTTATTCCTTTCTAGCCATTGATCTCCTTCATTATCTTATTACAATGTGACAGGTTGTAAGTTATGACTTTAAGGAGGAGAGATTTGCTCATTTGCATCGATCTGCAATTGGGTTTCCTGAGTCAAGGTTCTTCTACTCAGGCACACCAGCTTCAGCAACATCTAAAGAAGCAGCTCTAAAAGGCGAAGCACTTGTGAGAGCTCAATTTGAAGGAGATCCATATGGATGCATGGGTTCTCTTTGGCATAAAAAACTGAAGCGGGATCCCTTTCATCGGTCAATACCTTATCCCAAAGGGTGTCCTGAAATTGAAGGGTTGTTTAGATACTGTGGGTTGGCTCCTTATCCAGGTGCCCTTCCATGGGCTTCTTGAGAAAAGTGACTGTAGCATTTTAGTTGATAGTTGATCGGAGAAATCTCTGAGACCATATACAAATTAACTGACCTAATACAATGGTTTTTGTTTTAAATGTAACTATCTTTTACTCGAGTATACAGAAAGTTAAGAAGCTTAAATTTTGCTTGGAGAAAAATACATGTAGCTCGATATCAGATGTGGAGTCATAAACAAGTATTTTTAATTGAAGCTGTTTTTTGCTTATTGTCTTAGTTAGTTTTCAGTTATGAGAGAGGTGAGGAAACAACATAGAACATTGCCTGGGTCGAGGCAGATTGATAGAAAACACATTTTATTCAGACAATTCAGGTTTTAGGTTAAATTCCCCTCCTTCCATCACACTTCTTATCGCTCCTACCAATCAGTGGGCAAAAAACCTGAATTCTATCCCAAACCAACTTAACAGCTAAAACCTGTTCCGATCTGGGCAAAATAGATATGTAAAAATCAGTTCATTTTTATGGATCACGGGTATTCTTTTCCATCCCAAGTCTTAACAAAGGTTTGAGATGCCATGAACTTTTGGTTCCACTATGACTTTTACAAGAAAAAATGTATGTTCTACTTATAATCTTACAGTTATATCAGATATTTAAGATGCAAATAAGAATTGATCTTTCATGATGTTACTTAATCATTTTCAATTTTAGTAGTATAGTAAACTTTGAATTTAATGTGAAAACACTAATTTTGTGTATTAGAAGTTCAATAGAATAAACCATAAGTTTAAAATTGGATCTTGATCTCCGTAAAACCTTACTATTCTAGTATGATCAGAAACAAAATCCAATATTTCAAACGAGAAATCTACCCATCAAAATACGTTTTTTTGCACTTTAACTGAGGCGGGCTCGATCCTTGAAGTTTGATGAACACATTTTTCATTGCTTTAGAACTTTAATTTGGATACACAATCTTGAAGCTGAACTCCCACATTTCATTCTCAAGTAATTTCATGAAGATCTTTAGAGCTTTCAAAATCTATTTAACATAACTTCAATGCTGAGATCTTGAATCTTTTAAAGCTTGAATTCTTAAAACTTCAATTCCTGATTTTTTCAGACAACAGATAATATGCAAGGTCCAAGCAAATGATGCAACAAATAGGCACCCAAAAGAACAGAAAGCATCTGCAATTAGTTTTAAACAAACAGAGCCTCAAATAATTAATAAACTTTATTTAAAAGCTAAAAACCCTTAGATTTGAAGAAGAAAAAAAAAAAAAGCAGAAGAGAGAAGAAACCATCAGAAACCAAAGAGTTTCCCCAGAAGCATAAAAGGCTGTGCGGTCCGCATCATGGTACGATTTTTTTAAGAAGATCACATCATTTGGTTCATTTTCTCTATTCCCAAATTACTAACTGAAATTATAAATGTAAATTGGAAAAAAAAAAGATAAGATCAGGGCTCAGATCAGATATGGGTGTAGAGAAATTTTTCAGCACAGACCCGAAGATCATAAGAGTGGTGCATGACTTTCTCACTTTCCTTTTGGTTCATTTTCTCTATTCCCAAATTACTAACTGAAATTATATATGCAAATTGGAAAAAAAAAAAAAAAAAAAAAGATAAGATCAGGGCTCAGATCAGACATGGGTGTAGAGAAATTTTTCAGCACAGACCCGAAGATCATAAGAGTGGTGCATGACTTTCTCACTTTCCTCCTCACCGCCCATAGAAAAACAATTTGAATTCCTAAACCTACACACAGCACAGAAACCGATATTCTAAGGAGATGGAGATTGAGACGGAGACGGTGAGATTGATTATGTGAAATAGGGTTTGGACACATATTTGTAGACCAAAAAAACTAAACCCTAATATCTATTCTCCCGTACCCATATGACGATTTTACCCTTAAATGTTTTGGAAATAACGCAAACATTTCTTCAAATCACAACCAAAATCCCCATTCGTTCAAGCTTGCGATCTCAGCGTATACGGATAATATCACTATGTATATTCAAACTAGAATTTTAAATTGTAAGAAAAGAAGGAAAATACTATCAATATTTCACCTTACAATTCCAATTTCCCAATACAACTACTAACTACCATGTTAATGTATTTTATCTTTAAAAAAACTGTAAATTTAAATCAAACTATACTTCCGTATATGTCTATCTTTAAAATTTATTTTTATCATGTTATAATTAATATTATATCATTTAATCAACAAATATATAAATTATTTAGAAAGAAATATCCTCTATACAACTGAAGAATGAGTAAGGATGCTTTTGGGTACCAAAGGCTAAGCAGGACTCACTCTGGATGCAGCTTTTTCCTACATATTCAAAAATTGTATCACATACTCCAATGCTTTTTTTGAAGTGCAATAAGGTAACCCATAACACAGTTCTACCACTTTGAGTTACTTTTAACCCCGAACCCTGCTATTCGATGATGATATTGGAATATCAGCATAACAACTAGTTCAGAAAATCGAAAGTCAAGTCTCCCTTTGAGGAGGGGGGAAAGCCTTTCTATAGGAGCCTTACTTCCAACTCAGCTTAAACATAAGAGCAAACCTTTTTCTTTCTTCAAAGCCAGGTGGGAGGTGGAGACCATAAGATATTCTTTACCTCCCAGCAAAGAAGAGAGAGGAAAGGTGCTGACATCTGCCTCGACCAGTTTCCAGATGCCCATACCAGCTCAAAGAATCATTGGCACTATTTCGCCCTACCTTCCCCATTTGCAAGCATTTAAGATCTGCCTCCTAGGGGTAAAAGGAGAATATTTACACTTAAGCTTCCTTACGTAGGACCTTGACTCCTGGAAGCAAAATATAATATATGATTCAAAAATACTTGCGGTACCATGCTGCAGGCTAACCGCAAACATGAAACCCATCAATTAGTAGCTGAAATTGATTTTTTAAACAGAGACTTTAAAAGATAACATCAATGCAATTTAATTAGATGTATTTCCATTTTAACGTATTCTATACTGTTAAAACCTGTGCAGGCTGCACCATAAAATAATTTCCGTCTTTACAATTTTACCAGGCTGTGCAGCACAACTCCGAACGCATATCCAGAAATGATCAGTATAAATCTCTATACATTTTCATCTGTAGCAAAGGCTTGATCCTCCACCTTCTTCACCCTAAAAGAAAAGAACAGGACAGTATCAGAACTCGGAGCATTCCAAAAGACAGCAACAGGTAGATAGCTGTAAACTCAACAAACATACTATATGATCCTCACATCGAACTCAAAACCATCATTTCAGTTTTATGTCAATTGTAATCTTAAAGAATCATCTGTCCATTTTTGTCAAGGATGCTGGGGTTTTGGATTGGGAATGCTGCCTCTTCCCATTGGACAATCCACTGTCACTAACACTGCCTTCAAGAAGATTGTCATGAACTCCAGAAAATTCTTTGTTCCATGAATTCAAGGGGATCAGGTAACTGTCATCCTTGGATCTCTGCCTCTGCTCCTCATAGCGTTTCACATTTTCTGAAATTCTATGGAAGGTTCGATTTATCTTTGCAATTCCCCTTTCAACTGGTTCTACAACATGAGATACTGTATACTTCATATCACCAACAATCTGAAAGATCGTATAAACAAAAGTAATCAAAGCAGAAAAAGAGATCAAGGAATGACAATAAATTTGACACTTCTAAGATGCCTAAACCA